GACATCGATATTTATAATACATTGACAATTTCACATCTCGAGATGATGATTCTACTAGGCAGGACTCGAACTTCTGGATGGGTAACGAGCTTCTCTACCAACTCACTACGAAAGATTCCGATGTGACTCTGAGGATTGAGATGAGGGGCGACAGAACGCCGTCAGCACCCGAACCCAACGCATTTTGGTGGAATCACTACACTAAATTCAAGGTTTTGAGTTCAGCTCCTTGATAAGGATTATCGTCTAACAAGCCTTAATCAAAGAAACCATACCGCCAACTTACTGCATGTAATGCATGAATTATGAGATCATATTTCAAAAATACACGGGCTGACTTTGCGGTTTCATCAACGATGAAAAAAATTAGGGACCAGAGCTACGCTTTTGTCGTGTAATTTCAAAGGTTGACCGAAGAAAGAAGCTTTGAATACAACTTATTTATTTATTTATTTATTTATTTATTTATTACTATGCACTCGTAGGTGCGCTACAATAATTAGTCAGAAACCAAATCGTTATAAAATGAGAGTCATCGACTTAAAGTAAACACATTTAAGCAGTATTTTACCCACAAGCGGAAAGTTCACAGACACATATTATTCGAAATCGTTGATAATATATTTTCTGATCAGTTCTGGTAATTTTTGACAGTATAAGCTCGAGGGCGGAAGTGGTGTAGTGACAAGTGGCGCGCTTACCACGCGAGCGGTCCGGGATCAAATCCTGGGTCGTGAGTCGCCCGGGCCAACCAAGCCTTCCATCCCTCCGGGGTCGGTTAATTGGTACCAGACTTGTCTGGGAGGATAAAAACACTGACTTGTACATCGGCTGGCCCCGCAAGTCATTGTATAGGCCACATCGCATTCAAACGCCACTGCGAATGTACAAATGGAAGTAGAATGCGTGCCGCATCCCAAAAAGGGATTGATCAACGGCAAATGCTTTATCCTTTATCCTTATAATTCGAAACGCGTTACTACCCATATAATAACCCATGGAGGTTTGTCAGTAATCATACCGAAAAAAAATCATCATTTATTTTCCCGCACTCAGGGGCGCGCCTGTAGTGGGCGAGGTAGGCCATTTACGCCTCTTCGCGAACCCTTCACTCGCTCATTATTTTGAAGGGTAGCAGTTGTCGATAGATATCAGTACTAGTTGTAGTCACACGTAATACAGTTCTTCATAAATTTGATAAGCCGAGAATTTATCACACACAAGCGCTGTGCATTTCGAATTACAAATGTAGTACTCGTGCTTACGAAACGGGGGGGGGGGGGGGGGGGGGGGGGGGGGGGGGGGGGGGGGGGGGGGGGGGGGGGGGGGGGGGGGGGGGGGGGGGGGGGGGGGGGGGCGAAGGCAGACCACACCCTTAGTGACGCCTCCACATAATCAGTCAAACTCGTTGTTTACAGCGATTATGATAGTTGTAAGCAATATGTGATTATGATATAATGAATATTTATAGAATACTTACTGGAACGGATAAATTTCCTGAACAAACATTCACATCTTTGAGACGTCGTCAATTGTAGGTGCGGTCTGCACCAGACGCGCATCTAGCTGAGTAGTGGCACCTATTATACTAAGCGATCAATTACTGATTTCTTTTTGGTGGGATCACTGGAATACGAGAGCATTTTCACCGTTGCGCATGTGTTATGTTCACACAGCAAGTGAATGCTGAAATTACTGAGTGATTCGGGTTGAGGGACATCTTTTGGAATGCGCCACGCATTCACTCTCTTCCAGAATTTCTGGCCTTGTTACTTCCTACTATAGCATACCAACACCGAAATTTTTCTTCCCTTTGTTTCAGGAAAGAACACTTGTTCTGTTTGAATGCTGGAAATATGTTTAGGTTGGTCCGGAAGCATCTAACTATATGCTCCAAAGCCTTTACATCGATTGGATGCACATGGAGGGTAATGCATCTACGGGATGGTAAGTACGGACCTCGGAAGCCAATGCTCGGATTCTCAAACAAGGAAAGCATGGTACGTTTTTAGGTACGATATAACGGCTTGTTTTTCTTCGCGTTGGTGCACCATTCTCTACCATCGACAGAATCAACGACCCAACATCGAGCTGCGTAACGAAGTACCACATGGGGTCGGTGAAAATCTTTACTTGTTCCAAACAGTCAAAAAGTGCAATCAAGCGTATACATGGCGTTCAAACAGTACCATTGCCAGAGGTTGGTGGTTACATATTGCGCTTTGGCGACGTTAATCGAGAGTATGAATAGAGGACTTCTCCAATGGGCTACGTAGGCTTTGAAGATTACTTTATTTCCTCTTTCGAGAAAGATCGGACACCTATCAAGACGGCACAGAACAGAACACGTAAAACCGCTCTTAACCAGGAATCTTTCTACGTGAAAGTCACGTGGCAGAAAGGCACAGCCCAGGCAGAGGTCGTGTGAATGCTTCTCTTCGTGTGTAGTGATAGAGTCCCTAGAGTTGTTCCTGTGCTGAAATCAACGGACAAGAGCGCTTTAGCTGTTGTCTGCCGACCTCTCCATTCTCGATCCGCTCTTCTCGCCCATACTCTCCCCTCCGCGCTTGTCCCTCTTCCTTCTCCTTGCACAACCGATCAGAAGGTGACCTCATACGTAAGCGTCTTAGGCGGTAACGGGCTTCTTTTCGCTCTATTTCTTTACTGCCGTCCACTTCGCACCAAATCATTCGCCATTCAAGCACGAAGAAGCTCAACACCCCCATGTAGTCGCTGGGCAATGCCTTGAGCTAGCAGTTAAAGTTAAGCTAAATCAGGGTTCTGTATATCTCAGCGTGGACGTTCCGTCTATCAATGCATAAACTGAGAGACGAAATCTAGAGGAGAATTAGGGGTGCTTCTTGCGTTGGTGAATCAATTTCATATATACTACATTAGTGAATAGATGCGCCTTGCGGAAATCTAATCTACTATCTCACTATTTCGGTGAGTCAATCCAGACAAGGTGAGAGATGGAGGGTGGCCATGGCAATTAAAAAAATCGGAACCGAGTTGCCTAACCGTGGCGCCTTATTGACTAATTGTATGCCGCGCTCTTTCACACCCACTGCGCAGCGCTAGCGCAACATGGAAGGAAAACCACTCGGTAAAGTGATGGAAGGCAATAATCAAAAAAGCCAGCAACAAAGCTCGATCTTCACAAGGCATGAAAGACCAAAGGATTAAGCGAATAAAGGTGCTAACACAGGAGCAATTAATAAAGATAACTAATACAAACAATGACAAACCTTCATAAGGTCTTCGCGCGTCCGACTCACAAAAACTGAGGCTTTTCCTTCCCTGCTGCCACACAATCAGTACAAACTTGTTCGTGGACAGTAGCTTCGCGTTTCCCGACGAACTGACGCTCGCAGTGCGACTTTCCATCGGCCCTCCCATGCTCCTCCGCGCACGCGACGGAGGAGCGGACCTATCAACCTCGAACATAGGCTTCCCAACAGCGGCTCATCCTACCTACAAGTGGCCGACAGGCCGAGCTAGGTGTGAGTCCTACTGCTATAGACACACACATGCACAAACCAACAACCAGATATGAATTAGAGTAAACCCACATGAGTGCAAATACGCAACAAATAAATACGTACATAATTGCACATATTTATCAACGTTAACCCAACGTTCCTTCGAGCTCCTTGGGTCACCTCACTCAGAGGTGGAGCGTATTAGGCCTCCGCGTGGGATAGGGTTCCTCTGAAGACTCTATGCGCGACGTGCCTGGTTGGCTGGTAAAAGGCTGCTCCCGACGGGAGCGGGGAACACGAGCGGCTTCGGGATGACAGGCGCTCCGCCAGCTTTGGCTCCGTGGAGACATTCCCCTTCGTCCTGGGCTGGCCCTGGCCCCGACGGCATGGGGCGTGACCCATGGGCGCATCAGCAACCGAGCGCAAGTGGCCCAGAGCACGCGTGCAGCCCAGAGGCCACGTATGTCTCCGCACTAAACTCGTCCAAGAGGACAAGGCCATCACCTATACATTGATTATCCCCAAACATCATCCTTTAGACCAAAAGCATGCAAAACAAGATACGATGAGAAGAAAGTCAAACGCGCGCTTATTCTTTACAGTAACTTATCCCACCACTACTTCATGTTCATGTTACAGGTATGTTCTGGATAATCAACGGTTTCGACTACATCATCCATCCGCGTGAGACCACCATGATGCTCAGGCCAACTCAAAAGCTGATCTAGTCACATATGCATAAAAAGCTTTAATTTTATCTATAATACAGATGTTTTTAGAAGGAATGTTATACTACAGTGCACATGAAACAAAGGCAACACACGCCTTTTTCATCTGAGAGAATAACCAGAACTAAAGCAAGTAACGAGACAACGTAGAAAGATCGAGATCGAGTTCTGAACTGTTAATTGCTAGACATACTTGCTATCATCCCTTCACGAGAAATGACCTCAATCAGCAAAAAATCATTCTCACAGCAAAACTGACAAGCAAAGGTTTGAGCTTTTCTGCTGAATCTTACACTTCAAACACCCACATTCCCTTTACTTCTCTATTTCCAAATTGGAAACCATCAAATCTCCTGACAAACTACTCGTTAACCACCCGGGCATAAGTGAGTGACACGACCAAGTAATCTAAGATGAAGGTTATAGAATATATACAAGACCGTTACCGCGAGTGTAGGACAATTATGACACCATATCGGTCAAACCAAAGGCTATCGAAAATATAGCTTTGTCCGCAAGCACTACAATCGTTTTCTTCGTATCACATGCAGTTGGAACAGCTCGGATTGCGGCCACAACGGCGCTTGACGGAAATCGAATCATTGCCTAAATGAGGATTATTTGAATGTGGTCGCCAAATTACGATATTAATCGCCAGAAAAAGCTCCATCTACCCTCCTTCCTGACCAATCATCGAGCATCAAACGCTGTTCGGTCCCTTTGTAACCCAGAAACAACCGAAGTTCTTTGAGGAGAAATAGCATTCCGACCACAGTTGTGATGACATCTGGCAGTCGGTCAACCACTGAGCCATTTCTATGCAGCGGACCTGTATACACATTAAGTTTCAATTATAATCCACCAGCTGAAGGTACTAAGGAAACTTTCGAAGGCACTCGAATTTCGAACCTCATCGTTATCGTCGTCCACCTCAAGCCGGTAAAGTCGATGTGAGATCCCTGGATGCCGACCACCTGGTGAAAATGTGACAGCAAAGTGCAAGGAGGTCTCATCGAAACTTATAGACCTCATTTTGTCAAAATGATCTGAACAACATTTAGAATGATAAATTCACTGCTATGAACTGCACCACTGAAAATTCTAACCGTCCACATTGCTTAAAAGTGGGAAGACTTTATCGTTACGGAAAGCCACGAGCTTCTTGAACGACGCCACGAGCAACGTTGATGAAACAGGATCAAATCTGAACAGCAAAGCCTATTGAACAATCAGAACACCGCACTAAAAGTGAGGGCGAGCAAAAAATACCAACCCTGTGAAAATTATAGGAAGATGACCAACTCCTTGAGTGTAATCCCGTATTGGTTCCGAAGAGTCTGAATCAACAGCGTACTCAAGAACTCTGCCATCACCAAGGCCCAATGTCACCTAAAACAAATCTTGATAAACGATAAAAGCGAATAAGGAATCATCAGCCACCATCAAGCTACCTTGTTGGCAGCAGTCCAACACCCTGTCCACACAGGTTTCTCATTAGGCATTCTCCATTGTCGACGAATCGCTCCATCCACTGAGACAACTGCACGCTTGTCTTCTCCTCCTGAAAAATTCCATGCATGTGAATGTTGCTTGTTGAAAGTCAGATCAGAAGGAACTTGCAAATAAAAAAATACAGGCTAAAAGCAGGTCTGAAAAATAAAGGCGGTGGTGTATAGAAGTAAAGAAAAAGATCATCCAGGAGAAAATCGATGAAACGTAAGGTCTAGCTCTCAAAAAGACTCCCTTCTTGAACTAATTTGGAACAATTGGTGCATCAGACTTTCAGAAGTCCTAAGAACCCCAAGATACTTATGGAGACCAATGTGAGTGTGTCCCAGGCCGTTCTTGACTATGGAACTATGAACTATAAGGGTAACTCAACTCTGCTCCTGATCTAGATTTCTAACTCAACATTTCAATGCGGAACTCACAATGACAACGGATAATTTTCGTGGGCACCTCCTATTCGAAAATAAAACATAAACTGAATTCCAGCAGAGAAATAGGTTAATATTGCAGCCACAATATACATTAGATTGATATATAAGAGAAAAAAAGTAAAAAAAAGCGCTATCTCTTGTCAATCTCTAAGCTCACCAATGAGAAGGGGTCAGAAAGAAAACCCTTGAATACAGTATAGCCAAAATGGGAGATTTGAGCATACGACTCGTAACTATAAAAAATTACATAATTTCATATATCCTACAATATGCGATCCGCTAAACACATTGTTGTGGGTGCTTGGTTAAAATTTCATGATTCGCCGCATAATTCACAATGCAGATCGTTTAAATTGATAACGTACGAAGGTAATGGGATGGAACTATTTCAGACCTCGACTGATTTCAATAACGAAATTCAAAGATTACCTGACAAAAGAAGGGACGATTCGAACGGTGAAAAAACAACGACACGAGATCGTCCGTTATGCAGGGGATAACACTC